TAAATGATCTGAAGGGATATGCTGCTCCTGTTGGGGCTTCTCCTCCTGCAGCCCCAAGAGATCTGGAGGCTGAAATTGTGGCGATGACAAGAGTCCCAGTGCGGCAGGAGTCTGGGTCCATGGAGCGTGGTGAAAGACCTGTGTGGCCAGGACAGCCGCAGATGAAGGAGCACTTCATGATCGTGACCCGGACGCCACACAAGGGAAACTGACAGTTCAAGAGTCCCGGGGTCGTTGGAAGGCCCTCGGCTCATGCAGATACGAGGCAAGAAGACGTGCACGGGAAGTCAAGGCAGGAGACCTGGCAGAGGATGGTGAAAATCCAACGGAAACAAGTCCAAGGGTCGAAATCCACCAAACCAGGAGCACACAGCACAAGACACCACAGAGCCAGCCGAACAAAAGGGAAAAACCAAGAAGTCCGTAGGATGGCTGGGTGCAATACAAAGGGCAACCCAACCCCCAAAAATTAGAGGTTAATCCCTCGGCTATGAGGCCAAGGACCGCGCTAGGGGGCATGAGGCTTGAGCCCCGCAAATTTCAGGTTGAATCCTTAGTTTCATATATAACTCTATATATATATAACTATATATATAACTATAAGCATAGGATGTGAATAAACAGATCGCCTTTTTTCCTCTCAATTTATGAAGATTGGATGGTTTCCGAAGAACTGGGGTGCAGTGCCTCGACCTCTCCGGTGAGCTGGGTCTGTGGCAAATGCCTTAAGCCAGCAGGCGTCAGTGACCAGGAGGTATCCACTTGTGGGTGGAATATACAACCCTTGGTGATATTAGATTTTGGGAACTTCGGAATATAGACATAATATAGATAATATATATATATAACCAATTTCTTCTTATTTCTTCTTCTGTATAGATATGTGTGTGTGTGCACTAGCTCTAGATATCTCTAGATACACATTTCGATCCTGACATTGGCACCTTTATCCTTCCAAAGTCAGAAAGAATCCGGTTCCTTGCTTGACAAACACAAGTCCTTGGATGTCCTGTCCCGCCTAGCAATGTGGTTTTGAAAAACCGTTGAACAATGGATGAATTCCAGTGCTCTCTAAAATGTTCGTCATTAGAACCACCAGGGAATAGTTGTGGCCCCATGGATGACCTTCCCTCACTGAGAACCCAGGCCCCACAGAAATCTGCCGTCGTGCCAGAACCACTGGTGCTGACGTCACCACCTGAAACAAAAAAAATCGCCGTACGCTTCACCCTGTGCCGAATTTTGTGGATCCATTGGTAACCCGTTGAAAGGAGACCATTTGTGGAAAGCCGTTGCAAACTTGGACCCCAAATTTACAACGAAAAGCACTCCAAAATCTCGAGGTGACCACTATTGCTTCTCCAAGTCACAGTCGAAATTCAACCGGGCAACCTTTTTATGTCTCAACAAAACTGGTACATCAAACGAGATTCACATGATTTCACCACGCCTGTGCCACAGGCTGCGCCACAGGTGTCAACTGAACGGATGCCACAGGACGATAGCTGGCCAGGTTGGAAAGGTCCGGCTCAATGGCGCCTTGGTTTGGTCCTTTGGTCACAAGGCTTTCCCAATTGATGTCCTCTGAAACATGTGTTACTGAACTCTACTGCGGATCTTGGAATTAGGAATTATGAAATATTGATGATTTAAAGTGAGCATAGAATTCCCATCAATGGTGATGAGGCATGATCTTACTTTGTACAACGACGAATCATCGAGGATCTCCAAACCTCGACTTCAGCCACCAGACCACTCCAACTGCGCGTCACGCGCAATGGTTGCCACGATCCGGTGGGGACAGATGGAACGCCTCAGCTGCTGCCTCTGGCAGTGAAAAATCGGGATGGGCCGCATTCAGCGTTGAAAACCATGAAGCAGTTCGGATTGAAGCATCAAAAATGGAGTTTGCACACCCGAATTAGGTATACCCTCTGTGGTATTTAAACATTGCAGTGAAAGTTGCCCACTTTCAAGAACATCGACATATCATCAATGCTACAGGGTACCGCTTTAGGAACATATCCCTTCAGATCGAACTTTCGGCCCTGCAAGTTGAGCCATGCCCCATGGATGTTTCTTAAAGTTGGGAACTCCCAACATGCACCAAACTTGGGGTCGGTTTGAATTGAGCAACATTTTTCTTGAAGTCTCCAGCCCCAGCATGGTTCATTGGTTTCATTGGATTGGAAATGCAGGAAACCATTGTTTTTGCCTCAAAAATCGTGGACACAGGACATTCCTGCACTCGATTGTGGCCCTCCCAAATCGACCACATCATTTAGGGGCATTCTTGGGTCCAGAATCCCGGTTTGAAGTATAATTCCTTCACCCTGATATTGATCATTAAACATCCCCCCAAAAACCATGGTTGTTGTTGTGTTTGATATGTAGGTAAATCCATGGTAAGTCCTAATATTTTATCAGAGTCGTTCTCTGATAACATATGTTTTTAAATCACACGACTTTCCAAAAACTCTTCAGCCAAGCCAAGCTGCCATTCAAAGAAATGCCACAGTGATTGATCATCGAGACGGCTGGGAAGGGCCTTGTGTTGAAATGTTCACAGGTTGGATTTTAGGTCGCGTCATGAATTTTCTGGATTGCCTAAACCCTGGAATGCGTCCATTATGACTATGAGACCATGAAATGATGGATTCGAGAGTTTCCATTCCTGGTAGTTCTATACATCCCATTTTTGCTCGGTCTTAAACCAAGAAGGTGACTACTCGGACTACTCGAAACGTTGGATAAGATAGTTCATAATTACTAGAAATGCTTCACATCGTAGATCAAAAAAGAACCATAGCCATATTTTGATGATTTTCAGGGGTAAATGCGGCAAATGTCCTAATTGATCATAACATATCATAACACTGAAAGGCATCTAAAATCTCCCAACAAATATCTTGGCAAAATCCCCAACTCCACAAACCCATCTTGCCGCCACATGGCGTGAGGTGCGTAGACTCTGATGACCTGGGTATGGTCGGACCATCAACCAGATTTCATGACCATAAAAAATATATGATGACCATTGGTATTGGTGGGTTTGGTCATCATGTTCATCAACCATCATCAACCATTATTGTTGCGTTGATTGCGTTGAAACCCTGAAAATTAACCTCTGATTTGGATTGTTCATGATTTTTCTATGATTTGCCACATGTCTTATCTTCATCAACCAGTGTTTTTCTAAACAAAATAAAGACTGATCCAATTTTTTCTGGTCGCGCATCCCGTTTTCTGGACACAACTTGAGCAACCCTGCGGCACGGGCACGGCCACGGCCAAGACAGGTGTTGCTTCAGGTTTCACCTTTCGCATTCAACATGGGAATCTGCAGAGTGGAAGTTTCCCAAGTTATTTTCAACATCTATCACTTTCTGTAGATATGTTCAGATCGTTAGTAAGAACTGATTACTGATTACTGTAAGGCAGAGTAAGGCATGTTAAAATGATCTACCTGGTTCATGTTGCAAGCTTGACACAAATGCCGTGGTGGAAGGACCTACCGTTGCTCTCAAAGCGTGCCCAATAGGTCTCCCCTCGTAGAAATAGTTCTCCCTACTGTTTCAATGAGTTTTACTTATCAAGGATCACATTTCAAACAGTTGCAGGGTCAGGGTTGCTACCAACACCCCAGACTCATTAGGGGTTTAAATTTGTGAAAAATAGCTAAAATCACCGTGTTCATCAAGTTTTCGAGGAGCAACCCGGGCAGTTGTGGCACATACCCTGCAATCAAACATGGTTTGCTGGAAACAACCTCCATTTACTTCGATAAATCCCCCAGGAAAATCACCATTTTTACAGCTGGTATGTAGAAACCATTTCCAGTCATTTTTGTGGTAAAAATGGCCACCTGTTTTCACCACATCAATCCCAATAATAGTTCATAGTTGGAACAAAAGCCACTATGGTTCCATTGAAATCCCATTTAAATGCCATTAAACCATCATTAAACCACCATTTTCCCATGGTTTTCCAGCCATCTTTTTTCGGACACCGGGCACTGCTGTCACTGCTACAGTACCGTGGCCAGGTCTCGGTCTCCCTGCAACTGCCATGGCTTGTGCGGCCATGCGCACGGCTGCTGGTGAAGGCGATGACCTGATGATGGAAATCTCTGTTTTTTTTAATCCAAAAAAGGCATTAACGGATTGTGGATGATTGATATGGCTGAATGATGCTTTGATATAATATAATGTGCATATATACAGTATATATATAGTATATATATAGATATACTGTATGTATATATATATATACATGTATTACTGATCGAGGTTGATATGTTTCATCCTTTCTCCACAATCAATTTATCCCAGGCAACTCGTTGACCTGGCAGTCAGCCCAGGTCACTGGGCGCAGGACTGTCGAGCTGGTGGAACTGGTGCCACTCCAGCCACCTCCATATTTTATGGCAGCATTCTTGGACCTACAATTTCTGGTACCATTTTTAGGTACCCTCTGGTTATTTAACATAGCCATGGAAAATCCCCATTTTCAATAGGTAAACCATCTATAAATGGGCCATTTTCCATGGCTATGTTAAATAACCAGAGGGTACCATTTTTCTAAATTGAAGGTGCCAATGCTCGTTTCTGGTAGCATAATTTTTTCTGGTACAAAAATTGACCAATGCTTGTTTCTGGTACCACTTTTGGTCATCGTACCTTTTTTTACAGCCATGAAATTACTCATTTTAGGCTCAAGAAACGATAGTCTTAGCATGTTTTGGCGTTACTAGTAAACAATGCCATCTGAAAGGGAGATTCCAGCCATAGCCAGATGGGTCTAAACTCAGCTCTGAGGGTCTTCAATTTCGACTCAGCTCCTTAGATCATCTTGGATCTCCAAGTACAATGCCACCCCAAGAATCCATTGGGTCAATGGGGTACCACTGGAGAATCATGATTTTCCCAACGATTTGATGGACATGACGTGTCACACTCCGGGTGAAAAAACGCCTCCCACGCGATCCACTTCACAAAGGTTTGTCGAAAAATCTGATACCCCATAAATCCACTGGTTAATCATCATTTTCCGTTTTAATAAATCCCATATCAAATCAATTCAAACCACATTTAAAACTGTTCACCTCCAGCTTCTCCGACTTGACAGGCTCCATCTTCGCCTGCCACTTTGAGATCGTTTGACATCTCTACAACAATCAACTGCCAACTTGTTTATACTTTTTTGGGGTAAGGCCACCATGGATCGCCGCGAAAACCGTGATGCGGAACGACAAACGAATGGGAGATGTCAAAACATGTCAAAAACCCCCTCCTTGGATGTGGTTGTATCGAATCAAAATAATCAAAGGGCATGCCTCCCGAGAGTCTTTCTACGGAGGTGACGCACATCTACTTTCAAACGCTTGCGTTGCGGCACGCTACCTATACACACTTCCAGGAGTCGCAGATCTTGACCATGTGAGGGGTATTACAATTATTACAGATTGCCATTTGTGTTCAATCCAAGGATAAGTGAAATCCATTAAGAATCAAGAATCATTGAAAGAGGACAGAAGGTTGCCATGTTCAAGCGATTTCCAAAGATCCATCAGTTTCAAAAACCTTTCCATTCAGTCCACCGCACGCTATTTCGAACTCTCAGGATACCGAACAGAGTGGTTCAATCCTGACGTCCAGTCCCGCCTTTGGGGAAGCTGCGATTAAAACGGAAAATGTCGGATGGCGTATCTCATGACCCTCCAACAAAAATCAGGTCCATGGCGCTTTCATGAAGTCCATCGCAGCGCAGTCAGGACGTCACGACTAATCGCATTTCAAATCCAACGTTTTACAAGAACAGAACAGTCTTGAAATCTTCGCGCTTGCGACGGACTTCGGGACCATAAAGCACATTAAAGCACTGGAACGTCATTGGAAATGACTTCAAACGCATTGAAACGTCAAATTCTGCACAGAATTCAGACCTCAACTTAGGAGGCTGCGATCTATCATCCTATCATGATCCATTGGATCATCCATTCAATCATCAATTTCCCATGAAAATCTATAAAATAGATTTATCAATATATATATATATTATCAATATATATTCAATATATTATATATAATTATCTTACATGAAAATCTACATTATATTCAATATATTATCTCATCTACCATGAAAATCTTCACATCCCATTGGTCAATCATCCATTGGATCATCCATTTCACATCACCAGCTGATTCTCAGCCGATGCTACGGCGGTGCGTCAATATGGCCGAATTGAAGTCGTAGCTGCGAAGATAGCATTGGATCCCCACGTGACTCACCGCAACGCCCTGGCTGGGCTTGGGGGAATGCAGCAGAAATCCTGCAACAATGGATTCAACATGACTCAACCAACCAAAAAGAGAATCTGTGTGATTTTGGTCAAGCATATGTCAATATGGCGATTCAAGCAGAACAAAATGGATTGATTGAACCAGCAAAAGTTGGGGATACTTGGTGAACCAACAAAAGAAGGACCCAACCCGGTATGAATTGGGCAACAACCAGGATCGAATTTCAGGGGAGATCTAGAAACCATCCTGTGCGCACTTTGGCTCAAAAGGGCTTTCCTATCCCATGAATCCCATTAGCTCAAAATCCCATCATCATCCATTATCTCATTGATATAAAATGTATATTCCCTTCAGTCATTTCATATCCCATGTATATTCCCATGATCATCCATTATCCCATGAATATTCCCATCATGCCATGAATATCCCATGGAACTCACCGTTTTTCTCGGGAACACGCCGGCCACCAGGCCCACCCAGGCCCACCCAGGTCCTTGGCATCCGCTTGGACCGCCGCATCTGACATTTCCATGGAGTGACTTCGAAGACTCGCTGGACTCGCTGGGCTGCCCTCTTCCTGGATCCAAAGATGGCAGTGTGTCAAAACCAATAGTACCCCTGTAGTTCACATCAAAATAGCTGGGATTTATGGATGTTCATTCCCCTAAAAATGGTATTAATAGGTATTGATCCATACCCAGATGTTCCAAGTTTTGCATCGAAATGGGAAAGCTGGAGGGATCCATAGCATCCAACTGTCCGAAAAAAATCATCCAATTCGTGCCTTTTTCAGTGCAAGTATCCCATGAAAAAGGTCCATTTGGAGGCCCAACCCCAACCGCAGTCCTCAGAAAGGCCTCCGGTGTCCTGTAGGACATCGCCCACCTCTCCGGGCAAAATGCCTGTGACACCGACATCCTGGGAGGACAACTTCCGTAGGAAGGGCACTGAAGAAATGCCTGCCTTGACCTTGGATGAGCGAACTGCCGGTGAAATGCGTTGTTTTTTGGATGTGTTAAGGGGAATGTAATATAATACATATATATATATAGCTGATATGAAATGTGACAAAGTATATCATGACTCGTCTGCTTGATGATTTTACGATGATTGATTCGTGGATGGTGATGATCATCGCATCTTATCTATAATTATCAGATAAACCATCGATCAATGGTGCTGGTGATGATCACGATTCCAAGGTAAGCCCTCCAAAGCCAGAGATGTCATCAGCTGCTGGTATCGTGAGATGGGACAAACCTGCGCCACCAACCAACAGAAAAGAGGGATCCTGTGATCATCGAGGACCGAGCAACATCTGAGATGGTATGAGGGCTCCAAACCCTGCCAACTTTATCAAAACCATGGCGGATTCCCATGGCCCAAACTCAACACCTGACCCCGCGAGATTCAAAACCAAGCAGCCGTGTCAGCGATGGAGGATCGACCATCTGTTAGGCTCTCCTTCAGTTCTTGTCTAAGCGTCCAAAATTCCAAAGATCCCCAAAGGCATCAGATCCCCGACGGATTTCGGTGCTTTGAAGCTAGAAAGCATCAAGTTGGAATGGCCTTGGATTTCTCTTGGTTTGAAGATCATGATTCTTTGGTCAAATGGAGGTGTCCTAAAATATCTAAAATGGGGGTAACCCCATCCATTGTGGGTACCCCCATTTGGCGAAACCCCCAGATGTCTCTAGAAAAAAATAGCATCATTTGGTTATGGCTTGATCCATCATCGGTAGAGCGGCTGGGGAAGATTTCATGTTGCAGAATGAACCAATTCCAATTATCATTTCAAGTCGGTTTATGAATCTGTCTAAAAGGTTCATGATATTTACCATCAAATGTTTCTAGCATTCAAAATCCTTGGAACTTCAAAATCCTTGGAACTCTTTAGGTGAAATGTAGGTGTTTCCAAAACAAACATTGATGGTGGAAGGCACATCCCTCCACAAATTGTGACAAATGATAGCAGAACGCTAGGCTCCTGGGACATTTTGTTGCTGAAGGTCTTTGCAAAGAATCCCATGACGGATGAACCTGGTCAAGAGTGACCATTTGCCAACCGAGTTCAGGGAGGTACAATGTTCATACGTCTACATATATATATATATTATGTATATATATATTGTATACATACATATATTTCCATATGTGCACAGAATATCACAATTAATATGTAAATGAGACATTGAATAATTTTTTATTGTCTCCATTATATATAGGTAATATAAGTAGTATCCACCAACATTTCCGCCATTGCATCCAGCCTCCAGGAGTTACAGTGACCTTGTCTCCAACCGATCTCCTGGTCACCAGATTTCATGGGGATTTAACCGTTAATTGAAAACCATTGGAAATGGTGATTTTCCATAGGGATTTACACTAACATAGCTGTAAAATCCCCATGAAACTTCGGTTTTTTGTTGGGATATCATCATCGAACTAATGGGATTTAGGGAGTTCCCAGCCTTTTTTTAGCGAATGACCGGAGAGTAACCACCTTCACTAAACTCAGCGGATTCCTCTGGAAGTCAATGAATGATCTGACCATGGCTCACAAGTCTTGCCATTTTTCCCATTTGGACATGGCTCAACATTGAAGCTGGCTCTAAAAGAATCCCATATCAAAGCTTGACCCATACCCAAATGTCCACTGAGAACGTTGTCGAAATCACTTTTCTTCCAGCCTGGCATTTCGCAAATCTCTCTTGAGCTTTCTCTTCTCATGGTTTAGCTCAGCTATCGTCGCTTCCTGGACAGCGTCATGGAGAAAGGATGAAAAAGGGGTTGACGCAAAGTGGAAAGGCTGGGCACAAGCCCCCCACGTTGCAATTTGCCAATCCATGGGGGTACTCCCTTGCATCATACAAGTCAATCGACCATGACTTAGTACTGAAACCGTTTTGGTGACTTGGGGATCCCCCATGGCAAGAAACCCCGTCACAACACCATTTATATCTTCTATATATCTTCTATATTATATATATATTATATTATACATATTATATATTTTATATAATATAATATAATATAATATAAATTAAATATAATATAATATAATATAATATAATACTATATAATAGTATATATATATATATTATATCGTATATAGTAGATATATATATATATATAACCACCCCCTGGGATTTGGCCCCCCGATAACACCTTCTCGTCCAAGATCTGCCGCATGTGGTGGTCATTCTTTCGCAGTTCCACCAGCTCTTTCCCCAGATCTTCCAACCTGCCATGGTTTTAATCACACCCATAGTGATGACATAAGGATGGTTTATGGCATTGAGTTTACCATTGAGTTTAACCCACTATGAATTGATATGAATTGAGCTTTGCCCAACAGCTGAGTTTCATTCTCTTGTAATTACTACAATGATTGGGTCTTCCGCAGGCACTTCTGCAACACTTCCGCGACCTAGTAGGCATGTCCGCGGGGCTTTCGCGCTCTCCTTGTTCACTTCCACTGGGACTATCTGACTAGCTTCCTTCAAACTCGTGACCAAACGAATACATGAGGGTTTTGAGGCGGCCGCGGAACTATTGATGTCTTTGGTCAATCATCATAAATGGGTTATACATAAACCATCTCCAGTCATGGTAGGTCTATGGCAGGGTGAATCCCACATTCCCATACATGACTCATATGAACTCATATGGTTTACCACGTGACTATCGGACCTGGTCAATAAACTTCCTTTCCACTCATCCACGATGTCTTGCCACTCTTGGAAACTCCGTGCCGCCCGGTCTCGGAGCCCCAGGTAGTCGCGTTGACATTCCAGACCTCAGCATGTTGTTTTCTTGGACAAAAAAAAGTCCCAACAAAAACCTGGTCAACTCATACAATGTGGGGCCCCCTAGTTATAAGTTGGTTTATAACCCCATCTAACTATGGTTATAACTACTATAAACCCTAGTTATTGTAGTTATAAACCGACTTAGCGTTGACTTAGCTATCTTGGGGGCCCCACATTGTATGTTTCTTTCAAAACAGCTACCCTCCGGTAATTGAACAATGATTGCTATGGATTTTTTTTGCAGATTTTGCAGATGATGTACGTCTCAAAAGTGATGAATTTCCATGGCGATTTGGGACTTTTCCATTTCGGCTCACCACCAAGCGTTTTTTACGCGGCCGACCGTCGAGACACCACCCAACGACACCACATCCAGTTCCTTGAAGAGTCCCTTCACCAATTTGTCGACTGAGTCGAAGATCTGTTGATGTTCCGAAGGAGCCACCTTCAAGCCAAACCTCAAAACGGAGCCACCTTTTTGAAATGGGAACATTTTTAAGCCATGCACATCCACAAAAACAGGCTGAAACTGGCTGTAACTGGCTGTTGTCGTTGTAGTTGTCCATGAATTCCATGATTTCATCCACACATCGCCAGGCCTGGTGTGGACTTCCAAAGCTGGGATGCTCACGTCCAAGTAGAGGGTTGTAAAGAGATGCCTGGCGTCAAAAAACGCCTAAACCCATGGTAAACCCAAGGCGACTCAAGTCTAGCAGTGCAGAAAAAACATGAAAAAAACATGGTGAAATAAGTTGTTGTTCCTGATTGGATTGATAGTAAGTTTTGGATATAATATGATATAATACATTTAAAATACGGATATAGATCAGATTACTGTACATCAGTATAGACCGACATGGGAAACATGGATGCAAAACTGTGGCTTCTCAGGATCGCACTTCTCGAGGTCCGGCAAGTCGAGCTCATCAAAAGCGGCAGCCATGGCACCCACACCCGTGGGACTTCAACACAGAAATATCCACCAGTTGGGAAAAAAACATGGCAAAAATATCTGGGAACATGTGAATCGATCATGATCCAACAAGCATTTCTGTGATCAAAAAAGTGATCTGGAGGTGTTGTTTCCAGTCTTCAAACATGATATCGATGATACTTGATCATCTCATAGGTTACAAACCATGATTTTCATTACTTTTCATGACCACATCTATACCCCCAATAAGTCTGCAGAGGACAGCAGCAAGAGTTGGAGATGTCACACGTAACGCACTTGGCCATGAATAGTCGTCGCAGCCAGGAATTCAGTATCTTCGATCAAAACTCATTGATGGTTTCAAGCCATCCCAAAAATATGTGTCATCTCAACCTATCATCCCAAGTATGGTTTTTCAAAGCCATCAATAGTTGCAACCAATCAGAAAATTCTTGTGACACCTAGGCCATGGATTAAATCTTGCCTGCGCCGAATGCAGAGGTGCCAAGTCTTGCTTCCTCGGCTGTCAGTTGGATCAAACATGATGGAAGCTTCACCCTGGAAATTGAACAGAGCACTCAAGCATGACTAGTTGCAAAAAAAAAGAAACTATAAGAAACTACTTCAAAACATGTCAAAACCAGGTCTTTTGAGGTCAAAAAGGGGTTTCATGTCCAATGTGGGAGTATCAACACAGTACAGTTTCCATGGATCTGGAGCAGACAAGTGGCTCTTGAGCTATGATGACACGATCTTCCTTGCTGCGGTTGCTACCTGAGACGAAGTTTCCCAAACTGTCAACTGGGGATGCTTCCGGTGATCTTGAAGATATTGTGAAAACATCCTCATGGGGGGAAAACATGAAGGATCACCGAGGCTCCGACGGACCTTTGTTCGCAAGGCCTGGCTGTTCTATCCATGGGAGATTGATGTTGATTGATGATATTGATTGGGATATAGTTGATCCATGATGTTGATATAGTTGATATGGGATATAATATTGATGTTGATATATATGTTGATTGTATATTTCCATATTTTCCATTAGATCGATTAGATCTTGATCCACATTTTATCCATTTTATCCATCATGAGACCCCGCCTGGTTGTACCTGCGCACCAACTCATCTGGCACCTTCTTGCCATCCAAAGTGTAGTCAGCTGCCTGCTCCCGAATGGAGGCTTGCTCCTCGGGGTCAACGAATGATGGGTGAAGGGAACCAAAGGAAACTGGCGGTTGGGTCAAAGGTATATTCACCTTTCAAAGAAAAAGGGCTTTCGATATGTTTCGATTCTGCTTGAATCAAATTCTGGAAACTAATGGAAAGGTTGGTCAACCTGGTTCAAAAATAATGTAAACCTTTAAATGGTATACCGGTATACCTCTAAGATCTACAGCTTTGTCACTTTACAAATTGCTTGAGCTTCCAGAAAAGCCCTGCTTTCCAGTTTGAAATGGTGCCCATGTGGTGCCGATCACCGCGCCTTGGCGACCTTCATCGCCTCCAAACGGCTGTACCTGGAGCTGAGTTGGGTCCAGTTCTGCTACGAACGGACTAATCTGGACAGGATGCCCCTGAGCACTGCTTGTGCTTGTCGTCGAAGGTCATCCTTTTGTTCTTTGGAACCTGTCCGATACTGGACAGATACTGGCAGATGCAGCCAACGGCTGATCTGAACTTCAAGAGCAAAAGCTAGTTGTGACTCAAGAATGAGCTATGTGGTGTAGGTCTATGATTTTAGATGATTTTAGTGTGTACTGTACTTTACTCTGTTCCCCTCAACTGCACATTACCAAATAGTTAAACAATAATAAAAAACAGGTGTGCCCATTACCAAATAGTATCCAAATAGTTAAACCATGTTAAACAGCTGTGCCCCTCCTGATGCAGCGCAGTGGTGCACACCACCGTATCAAGGTCGAACTCTTTGTTCTCCTCCAAAAAAAGTCCGACGGTGCACGGGAAAAAAATGCTGGGTTTCTAACGGTGACAACGGGTGTTTTTTAACGGTGAAAAAAACCCAGGAAAGTTCGATGCTGTCCTAAAATTCTGCTAAACATTCCGTTTCACAATCCAAGTCTGTCCGAAAAAAATCATCTTGTCCCAACACGGAAAAACAGCCAAACTGCCATTGCTTTCCCGTGATCCGGCGGATTCCAATATGAAAAGTTCCACCATGGGATGATTCCCCGAAAAACCAATTCCCATCACCTGCAAAATCCCCTGTAAAGTCAGTCAGTGGTGCAGGATTTCTCCAGATATTGGAAAAATGTATTCACTATATTTCACTATATAATCTTCCATCAATCATCCTAGATCCACATCATCCAAATTCCAATGAAATCGACTGGGCCTCGTTGTCCCTGAGATAATCGATCAGCGGTTGCCGCCTCGCCAGCTGGGATAGATCATCAAGCTATCAGCAACTATATCATCAAATAGTTGATAGTGGAAGAAATCCTGTTGGTAGACAGTTTATCCCGTTATAATACCATGATTTACAGTGTTTCATAATTACCAATGGTTATCAACTGGTGCAGAATTTCTTCCATCCACAGGTATCTTATGGTATCTTGTACTTCTCAACTGAAATGTCAACGATCATCAACTCCTCCCTGGGCTGATGACATGGGCCCATCCACCACAATGGGCCATCCTCGCCTGTAGAGGGATGGCGTGGGATTGCATGTTGAACACACCATTTTTGGGGTTGAACATGATTGAATATCCACATACATGTAATATACATGTAATATACATGTAATATACATGTAATATACATGTAATATACATGTAATATACATGTAATATACATGTAATATACATGTAATATACATGTAATATACATGTAATATACATGTAATATACATGTATCCACACCAAAGGATAGCGCCTTTTGATGCTCCCCGCAGCGAAAATCTCTGAAAAATTGGGGAGGTCGACTTGATCCACAGGTTATGGTGATGGTGATGGTGGCAAAGGCTGAGAGTGTGGCTGTCCGGGTTCGGAAGAATGGCGCCACTCGATGTTCACCTGGCGGATCGGGGTTCAGTTGCTGGGCATCATGGATGCTAAAGGGAGCCAATCCGAAGAAGTTCCCTGTGGAATCTGTAGGTCTTTGGTGAAAACACTCAGATATACTGTATATAATCAGTAAAAACTCAAGCTACAGTTTACACTTTGGTTCCTGAACTGCTCCTCTTTCAACTCGCTTGCAAAGTATCGGTCGGGAGCCTTCTCCCAGCTGTATCAGTGGACAACCGGCAATCTTTTTTTTTGGTGCAAAAAGAACGTCTAGAATCTCAAGGGCATCAATTTATTGAGGCCAACAATTTCAAAGTTATCCATGTTAGAAGAATATCCATGATACATTTTTGAGGCCATCCAGAACTTTAACCATCCATGACCCACATCTGTTACCACCCCAGCCTCCTGGCCATCAATCAGATAGACCCCTTCGGTCACTTGCTGCACGCGCCTCAACCTGGCTGCAGAGTTGGAGGGTTTCACCGTTGGTCAGAATTTAGGGGGTAATTTCACCAAAGGACCATCAAAAAATGTGAAAAAATGAGATTGATTGGGATATATTGGGATATTCCTGGGAATATGTTGATATTATATTATTATATGTTGTAGATATTTCACCAACTATCCCCAATGTGGCTGTCTTAGACCATGGGGAGTTTTCTCCTTGATGGCCATCTGAATAAGGACACGGATGATGAAGTGATCCCTGGATCCCTGGCCTGGCCACGTCGGGATTCTTGCGGAGCACATAGAGGACGTGCTGATGAATGAGATCCTCACAGGAACTCTTGAGCCATCCAAATCCTCATGATATGCCACGGCTTGTGGTTTAACAAACGTTTTTTCTACCAAATGGAGGATCCTTAAAATGGGGGATCCCCGTAAGTCACCAAAACGATTTCAATACTGAGGCCTGGGCGAATTTGGATATAGGAGTACCCCCTATGACTTAGGAAACCTCCAAATGTTTCCCCTTAAAATGGTCAGCTCGTCAGCACACCCCCAGCTGCATCTCCTCCTTGTGTCGCACCTGTCCCGACACCGCGGTGTCGCGTCGCCGCGGCAGCGTCGGCAGCGGGGCGGGCGCCGGCGCAGCCGCCGGCGCGGGCGCCTGGCGCGGGCGCCGGGGAGGCGTGACGGACCTGACGGAGAGGAGATTCCGGTGAGGTGATTGGATGAATCGAAATTGGTGGATAATTGGGGTGATAGTGATATTCTATGTAACAATAATAATAGTAATGATAATAATGATAACAACAACAGTGATGATATCTCATAACAGAAAGCTGTAATGATGAGAATGAATAATATTGATCATGATACAGATCATTAGGGTATGATATGGTATGATGAACATAACCATTAGCCAGAAGTTGGTCTCCGATGATGATCATGCAATAAGTAGAGTGGATCAGTGGATCTGAATAATTCTTCATGAGATCTATTGCCAATCATCGCGAATCGTAGCACCTTCGCAGTTTTATTGATGGAGCTGTAGAATTTTCTCCATAAATTGTAAGCACATCCAGAAAATTCTAACCACAGGCCAACTGTCACAGGAGAAAAATTGGTTCTATGACTTAGCACAGGCGAAAAAGTCACCTGTAACCATCCAGACCTTTTAACCATCCCATCTTAGGACGTTTCTCAACGCCCAATCCATCGATCCGGCGCTGAGTGACCATGGGGCTGGCAGCTCGTTCCGGACCGGCCGGACCTCAGAAACACACAGAAACACACCGCCATCAGCATCTATAAAGCTATGGGAAATCATCTCAGAAATTGGTGGCTGGTTGGGGGCCATAGGATGGATTAAACATGTGGAAAAAACCAGCCGGAAGAGTTGAATTTTCTTCTCTTTGGAACCTTCAATGATCATGGTCAGTACCTCAATTACCATTCGATCAGATGGGTCAGATGGGTAAAGCTCAAAAAGTTAGGGTTTTCCAAAAACAAAATGGATGAAAAACATCATTTTACATCATTTTACTCCATTTGATCGGCCATTTTTTGGATCACCGGAGATCTCTCCCCATCTTTGGGCCCAACTCTTAGGATCTGGAAAGCCCAAGCGCGAGGGCGTCACACTGGGCCTTCCGAAAAAAACATCGAAATCTTCCACCCGAATCGAAGAAAGATATGTCGGATATGTCTATGATATCAATGGGAGATCTTCAGATTCTTCAGGATCCAACAGATGGAGGTACGTAAACGTACCATATGTTGGGCCATATTTTAGGATCCTGAAATTCCCATTGATGATAGGCTATGATAGTCTATGATAGTCTACGTCGTTCCAAGTCCACGTAGTCCACATAGTCGCAATTTCTGGTGCTATGCTGTCAACATATTTCCAGATGTATCCAGGCCTAGCTGTGGAGACTGGCCGCGGATCGCGCAAGGACGGTGACTCCTTGGAAACACATCGCTTCGCCACTGGAATTTCCATACGAAGCCAACAACAAAGGGCTGGGAAGGGGGGTCAAAACCAACCAACGGAGCGTCAGTTTGGACTGCTTGGACACGAGTACTAGACGTACTAGAGTACTCATTCACCTGTTGAGTCTTTGCCCACACTCATTCTAGATGAGAAGGGTATTGGTTTGCCAGGCAATCAATGAGAATCTAAAGCGCGAGCCAATGTCCATCAATTTGTTCCCTCTTGAGATTGAAATCGCCATAGGAAAATAACAAGTGGATACAAGTGGTGCTTTTGTCCCACACCAACAAAAAGGCAAGGGGGGTCCTTCAAAATTGTTGGGCTCGCCATACCTGTTTGTCTGAAAAGAGGGCGCCCAACAATTTCATAGAATTTCATGGTGAATCACATTTTTCATCATATTTCCATGGTATTTTATGGGTATTCCATGGTATTCCACTTGGGGAAGCCCAATAACAAACCTCCAATTTTTGCAACGGCGAGCCACGAAGCGGCGTGGCGTGTGGGCTGCCGGAGCTTCTGCTCGGATCAACAGAGGACCGGACCTTGGTAAAATCGAAACAGGAAGCCATAGGAAGCCATAGGAAGCCATAGGAAGCCATAGGAAGCCATAGGAAGCCATAGGAAGCCATAGATGTTCCCATTTTTTCTATGGGTTTTTAGATGTTTTCCCTGTAAATTGTCCTTTTTTACCAATCCATTCAATCCATCATGTTGGGATGGGAAAATGAAGCATCTGATGATGGGGATTTTTTGAACATCAAATGGGATGATTATGACAGGATGGGTTCCACGGAAACACCCATTGGGCGCCAACTTCTTGGGCGATCCCGAAGATCCCGAACCGCGAAGCCACTGCCCCTGCGAAGTGTCAAATCAAGATATCTTAAGGTCTGAAAAATCACTTGAAAACCGCGATTTTCTCAATACTTTCCAGTTATTTGTTCCAAAATGGCAGTGTGTCAAAACCTTGTACCCCTGGTGAACATCAAAATAGCTGGTAAATGGATGTTCATCCCACTAAAAATGGTATTAATAGGTATTGATCCATACCCAAATCAGGATCAAGCATATTCAAGCATTCTACAACTCATTTTCCCAGCATTCAGTTCCGTTTCACCCTTTTTTTCGGGTACATCTGGTGAAGTAATTCCCCCGCCCACAAAAAAAAAACAACCAACGCATCCACCATCAACATCTCCATAGCCTGCATCGCACGTCCAGGCCCAGGAGGGGCAGGGAGACTGTGACTTACCAACTCTTTGGGCTCCTGCCAAAAAGGCACAGATGAAAATCACTAGATTTGATCATGGACAATGATGAGGTCAGAAAATGGTGATCAACTCCTGTGATTTTGTATGGCGCAAGTCATTGGGGTAAATTGGTCAGTTTTGGAATTTACATCGATTTAAGATTTAAGATACATCTCAAAATGGTGCGTCAACGCTTTCGAGCCATCCGCATTTGGTCATATTCAGGACTTCCCTTGGACATTGGAGGACCCAAAGAATTGCCCAAAAAAAAAGACTCGGAGGCTGGATAGCTATGGATAGCTTATCCCATTCGAAACGTGTCCGAATCTCAAATCTCCCAACGGATTCGGACCCGAAATCGCTGCCGTCCTTCCAAGTTTCCCAAAGTGCTGACAGGCCCATTGGCGTTGCCTCGGCGAAACTAGAACTGTTGGAAGGAATCCAAAAGTGACAAAAAGATAAAGTGCCAGATTTTGCAGCCTCCAAATCATTTGCTCGCCATGGGCCATAGGATTCAATCACTTTTTGGACACCGTCGGTCGACCAAAATCTGTAGGGCTGTTGATTCCCATCACCGAGTTTTCGACCACACGTCGTCCGCCAAAAACTAGCCCTCAGGGCATCGCGCTATGAAGGGCATGGATCATGGGTAAAGTCGCTGGGCCAAAAAAGGACGGTCTACTGAGTCTACTCCTAAGACCGCGCCCCCGTACCAAAAACTGTGTTGACTCAACGTTCACTGCTCTCATTAAACACATCAGACATCATCAGAATTAAAACACATCAGAAGTCAATCATTATCCATTATTAGTGATTAGTTATTATCACCATTATTGTTAATCACCATTAATCACCATTAATCACCATTAATCACCATTAATCACCATTAATTACCATTAATTACCATTAATTACCATTAATTACCATTAATTACCATTAATTACCATTAATTACCATTAATTACCATTAATTACCATTAATTACCATTAATTACCATTAATTACCATTTTTGAAGATTTTTAAATGACCCATTTAACGCCAAACCGCATTTCAATTTTGATCCGATCCCAGCGCCTGAATCTGTAAAAGCGCTGGGAGGTGTCGGGCACCGCAAGGCGTGCCTTGAGGGTGGAGTACCCAAGCGGACCTCCTACATGATTTCAATGTGAAATGTGTGAAACTGTCAATCTGTGATCTGTGAAAAATGTTGATACGGCCAAAAGTTGTTTTTTATGTAAAATCAACATGAAACTTAACATGAATCAACTGAATCAACTGAATCAACTGAATCAACTAGTTTCCCAAGTGCAAAGTAGAGCAAAAGTTGAGCTCCTGCAGGCCAGGATCAGCCACGGCCTCAGTGAAATCCAATGGTCGATCCACGGCCACTGCTCTGCAGAAGCTTCGAGCGGCTGATTCCGCTGAAAATCTATCGTGAAGATAAGTCTCCAGCTGCTGTCATGATACTTGACCTGCAGTGCGGTTGAAATTTCCAACAATTTTAGAAGAGTTTTGCCCTAAAACTGCCGGGAATCCAAAAATTTCACCTTCAAAAAAAAACTGTGGAGGGGGTTGCATGTTTTTTCCTGTACACACACCCAAGTCAAACTGTACAGTTCTCACTCTCAGCCGCAAACTGCACCAGTTGAGGCTACGGCAGGGCGTAACCGTGGGGCAACCGTGCTCTTTGTGCCAAGCTGCAGGGTGTGTTGCAGCTAGAAATGATATTTTTAAAAAAAAAATAATGCCTGAAACTCAAAACATCTCAAGACATCTCATGTCACATCTCAAAGCTCTGCAGCATGGCCACTTGTCAATACTGCATGAAATGTGGAAGGACATTTGGAAAGACTCTGCAATTGAATGACTGCAAAAACAGAAGGAAATCAAAGAAAAACAAAACGGCATGCCAGTTCACGTTTGCTGAAACCTGCCCCAGATTCAGGTCCCAAGCTGGACCCAGTAGTTTGGAAACACAACTTCATACTTTTGCAGTTCACTGTGCGGTTTCCTTTGCTTCAACTTTCACAACCCAAAGCTAGGCATTAGACATGCTATGGTCTGCGGCTGCATAAACACTTATTTTGGACGTGGTGCGAACAGATCAAAACGACTGTACACATATTAAGTACCAGCGGGTTCAACTATGGTACGGTCCTAAACGGATCAGTAACGATAACCCCCCCAAACAAACCACCACCGTGTACAAACCCAAGAACGGGGTTGCCAACAGGTTGATCAAACAGGTGGGGAGTTATAAAGTACACCAAAGTATTTCGAGAATCGACCAGCCGGAACCAATAACTCCCCCGAAAACCGTTCGATTAACGAAACCAGTCAGCGGACTGCATATTCGACCTTTTTGCATGCTAATGCCAAAATGCGATGGCCACTTTCGACCAGTCTGTGCAATAACGACTGGAGAGGACTCCAACAGCGCCTGCCAATCCACGTCACAGAAATCCTCGTGTTTCAGTGCATGGTATTGGTAGAGGCTGTTGAAATCGACTCAATGCATCTGCAATGATGTTGAGGTGTCCAGGAATTTGACTCAACTTGGGATAGATGTGGAAGCGACGCACATACATGAAAAATGGCGACAGCACCATTGACATTGCAGGTGTCATGGACAAACCCTTTGCCGAGGCAGCGTCTGCCGCACTATTATCTGTCCCTTGGTGGCAGGTAATTGGCCCTCGGCATTTTGGAAGGCGCATGACAATGCAATGCGAAAGGGAAAATTGAGCCAGCAATTCCCATGCTGCAATGTGTTTCTGCATATCCAACCCGACCCATGGCCACAATGATTGAGCCTGTTCCAGCGTGATCTGAAGTGAAAGGCGTAGACCCCAGCAAATGAGCCCACACCTTGAGTGCTTCATGCGACTCAGAATTCAGAGTCCGGGTAGGTGAAGGAAGGATCCTGAATGCCCACCCAAAACTCTTCTGGACTTCAAGTACATCTTGTGAATGTCCTCCAAGCTGTGCACGTTGGTGTTGGCCACCCGCATGAGTTTCACATTTCTGCAGAGCGACTGGTGATCGTGTGTCAAATCCTGGGTGAGAGTAAGGCTTGGTGACAATTTCGACACCAAGGCCAAGGACTGGAAAATCACATGCTCCATACCCACGATGGTAGTTGGGATCTGGTGCAAAGCCCGATACAAGGGAATCAGAAGTGGCCGCAAATAGTGCCATGCAGAAGTGGGCCACAATAAACGACCAATCAATGATTGTAGGTCTTTGACGGACACCTTGGCGAGCTTTGCTATGCGATCGACCTGCTCAATGATCTTAGCCAGTTTTTCCGGTGGAACCGAAATAGACCAAGCTGACACAGAAATACGCCATCCAATCCAGTCCACTTCACAGGCAAGCGCTGCTTTGTGCCATGACATGGGTACGCCTAGGATGAGAAACAGGATGACAAGCAGAGACGCCCACAGGGGGCATGAGACCTTGTCCAACCATGCCAGTAGGTCGTCAACATACTGCCACAAGACATGACCATAGGCGAGCAACGAATGAGTTGTACGAACCATAAGCCCAGCCACTCTGCCCCAGTTCCAGCCGCTGGTTATGTAACGATACAACTGGCCATTTGCGCGGAAGCACAACATGCCACCATCTTGCAGGTCAATCAGAATACGCCTGTGTGCTTTGGAGACATCAAATGTGAGTTGGATCACCTGCTGTTGCGCCATCTCAGTAGGTGCACAAAAAAGGATATCTGAAATGGGTGGCAGCATCATGTGGTTCGGGATAATTGTGTTAGAGGTGACATTGCTGATGGAACTATCCACAACCAAGCGGGGCGAACGTCCCTCCGCAATGGCCACACCTAACTTTCCAACCGCTGTACGTTCAAACTGCTGTTTTAGTTCCGCAATGCCGCCGGGTACATGGGCAACGAATCCGGCTTCCAGCTCTTCTTGTATGAGTTGGGTGATATTGAGCACTCTTCCGTGAATCCATGCAATCCAGGAGGGGTGCAGGATCTGTCACTACGCCTTCATGTGAAGGCCACGCTGGAGATGGAAGGAGGTCCTCGTTCACTCCCAAGGGGACCCCCTCACTAAACTGAGAAGAAAATCAGCGTCAGGATCACCCAGAAATGTTGCCAAGCGATGCCAGAGGTGAAGTCTGAAAGGCTGGCCCGGAGGAATGTGAAGCAAGTGGTCACCTGGGGGGCACTCAAGACTGTCCAAAGATCCTCCACATACGGTTGAAGTTCCTGTTGTGAAAGAGGAGGCTCCCTGCAGCCTGATATCAGAGCAGCTGTGATCTTGAGACAGTGTTTTGTGTCACTCAGCCTTTTGAACCATTGAGACCTGAGTTTCACCAGCCGATCAGCCATGCACTTTGTCATGTGAAAGGCTGTGCTTGGAAGACCACCACCATCTTCGACACGTGTCACAGGGACTGGCCACTGCAGTCTAGGAGGCAACATCTGCTGCCAATGCTCGAGTGGAACTTCACCAAACCAGTCGTGACATATTGTGAAACAATGGTGGCCAAAACTCGTGCCAATTCTGGTGGGTATTCCGCCGTGATTCGACTCATGAACGTGCCGTCTGGAAGGCGAACACCAGCAGCTATCTGTTGATGACTGCCAGGAGGATGTGGACATGATCTCGCCACGGCAAAAATGTCTGGGCGATTAGACACAAACATCCATGCCTTCAGCCAGGCACGGTCAAACATAGATGCACACGCTTGAGCTGCATATGGTGCGACTGCTTGGACCCAATGGTACATGAGAGGATCGTCCCAGGTCATGGACGTTGCTGGGTGCTGGTCCACTGCCGAGAGCAAGATGCGAGATCGATCATGGATGGCTGCACTCTCCTCCACAGCCAACTGCTGCTGAGGGGTGTTGTCTGGAAGGCCGTTGATGTGCTCTGGTGTGCGCACAGGGGCAGGGCCAGGTGCTTTCAAGGTGGCTCTGCTATGTTTATTGCAGTATGGTGCAGCTAAAGCTGCTCCAATCGATGCTAGAAGCAACACCGACTCAAACACCTCATCATCGAGTAAGTCGTGGCCATGTATCAAGTCAATGGGCTGGATACGATCACCAGACAGATGCATTAATGCACTCGTCACTGGCATAGTGGCACCTGCAAAAATATTAGGGGAAATTTTGCTGACATTGTCGAAAATTGTATTGCAATGGGATGCCTCTTGGGAGGCGATCTGCCCCAAATTAACCAGGCCTTGCAACGCTTGTAAAGGCTCTGAATTGTAGCAGGCGTGCGTCCCCTTGACTGCACGCAATCATCACATCCCCTGTCATAAGGCCAATGGCCCCTGCACTCATGTTCCAGCCTGAGACGTCCATCACCCAGTTCAGGGACACTGCACTCCAGATCTGATCCCTCTGGACAATCTGGTGTGTCTGGGCGTTCTGGCAAACCAAGTTCATGGGGACCCCAACCCTCGAAATCTTCTGTATTGGCAAGCGATGGGGATCCAACTTCAGAGACCTCATCTCCCTGAGGACTATCACCCACAACTTGATCCTGTGTCAAGTCCTCCACCTGAGGAAAACCACGCAACATCCTGAAACAAGGGTCCACAAAAGTCCAGTCGCCATTCCCGATCAGATTGACCTGAACCTGTCCTCCCACCATGGTATTCCCAGTCCACGTGTCCAGATGTGCCATGATCATCTTGACAAAACTCACACACTGTCTGTCGTTTCATCGTTTGTTTCAACGTTTGTTTCAACGTTTGTGTCTGTTTTGACTGTATTGGGCTCATGATCATCAAAAACATGCTGAAAAAGACGACTGCTTCCAAAATGAAACATCCTACAATCATAAGAAAACGACTGCAACATGTCAATGTCAGCACTCTTCATCTGAAGCTCCCGACGTTTGGCCTTGACCTTGGCAGAACCTCCTGACCTACCCTTGGTGACCTGCGCAACCTCCTGAGTCGCAACATGATTCACAGGGTCTTTAGGCAAGGAGTCCTTAGTTCCCTCAGTTACCAGGTCCTTACCCACAACATCTTCAGGGACAACTGCTGCAATTGAACGACAACCACAGTCAGTGTTTCGTTTGGTTTGTTTCGTTTCAGTGCTGTCAGTGTTCACAGTGTTTCCAGTGTTGCATGGTGCTCAAGTCCATTGGTGCTGGTCCAGAACCCTTCACACCACTCTTGCGTTTTTGAGGCAAGCTGACTTTCAGCCACCATGCTCTCTCAGAAATCTTCAAAGGAAATTTCACTTTCTTCAAAAACAATCCACTCTCCTCAGCATTGCCAAGGACGGTCTTCCAACCAGATTCCAAAAGGGCGTAAGTTGAGATCACGTTCAAAGGAATTCCTACCACTACTACGCGCTTCATGGTCTTACCTACGTCGAATTCCAGATCTACAACCCCTTTGACAGGAAGATCATTGTCTCCTGCGCCCTTCAAGCTTGGAGATGGACAAGGATACTCAAAACTCACACGATAGTGCTTGACCCACTTCTCAGAAACGATGTGGCATGTCGCCCCTGAGTCCACTAGCCAGCAGGCCTTAGGACTTAGGATCTCCTACCCCTACACTACCAACAAACTCTTGCAGTGTGCTGCTCAGGTGGTGTGTCGCCGGTCTCTCAGTACTCGACGTCCTGTGGCCCCCATGGCCCCACCAGCTTCTGATGCAGACTTCACAGCTTTGATTGCCATAGCAACC